CCAGTCAGTACCTGAACATTTCTCTACATGTATTCCCCACTTGGGTCTCACCTTGAATTTGAAGAGCATTCCCTCCAAATGTCTTAAAGTTAAGTCCATTAATTTAATTCCTTTCTATATTGCTGTATCTAGATGTCATGCTGGTTTCTGATCTCTATCACTTTTGGCTGGAATTAGGATAGGAGTAATGACATGCTAGCAGAATACAAAGAAATATCTAAAGGGCTCAAAGGCAGGATTTCCTTGTGAGATGTTGCGGTATGTTTAAATCCTTTTAGATTATGTAGCAAGGATCGTTCTCTAAATGATAGTCTACTGATCTATCAACATCCATATGTTGGTAGCTCACAATTAAGTTTGTGGCCTACATATTTCTCTCGGGGAAAAATGTGGGATACCAGTGTTAAGATCACCAGTATTGTTTCTGTTCATCCATGTGTTTGCCTCTCCCCCTATCTTTCTTACTAGGGTTTGGCTCTTCTATCCAATCCTCCTTCGTAATGAGTTTTATCTTTGCAGGTGGCTCTATCTGTAAAGTGCTTCTCTGCCTGAGCGCAATTTTGTGGTGGTGGTGGCTGCTAGTGGTTATTATGGAGAGAAAGTATGTCAGGAAGTCAAGCTACATTTGCTGAGCAAGTAACCCCACAAAGGCCTGCTCCTTGCGTTCATCATAGTAAACTACAGATGCTGAACCTAACAAAAACGCATGGCTTGAAATCAGTCCAAAAAGTTGGAAGTCCTGAGCTGATGACCACAGACACCCTGTCAAGACAGGTAAAAAGATGCTTTTTTTCAATGGCGCAAGCTTAACTTGATTGAAATTCCACTTAACACCGAGGTAGGCACATTTCAGTGCCTTTAGCTTGATTTTAGTGTGTCAACCTGTGGAGAGACTGCACCCACCTCTTGCCTCTTTACTGGCCATGAAATGGAAACTCATTAGGCAGGAAGTTCTGAAGTGGGAGCTGATATGTGGGAAGGGAGTTTGTGGGGTTCCAAGCCTTCCTGATTGTAGATGGAGCTACACGGGCACCTGATGGAAGAAGAATGATCCAAGCTTCTATCTATCTTCTGTTTGCAGTACATTCCCCCTCTCTGCAAATGTGGCACAGAGAAAAAAGAGGGAGAGCATATCACATCCATCCACTAGTGCAATTCTAGGGGAAATGTAATGGCTCTACAAATTCTCTCTCACTTCTTGGAGCTTTCTAGCGAGGTTTGTGGGAGGGCAGGATGGTTGGGAGCACAAAAGTTGTTCTCTTAACTCTTTCATGTTCTGTATATGAGTACATACACACTTATTCTCTTAAATCTGGCTGGCTGTGGGTATGCTTCGGGACACGGACTCCTTTCAGATATGTTATTGCCTTGTCTCAGTTCTCTTCCCTAGGCCATATCCCACCACACAAGATAATGCAATGACACATCACAGGACATCAACACCCATAGTGACATACAGCCATCAACACAAGTGAGCTCCACCTCCTCCTATTTTAATAGTCTTCATCCACTGGGTGATGTATTATGAAACCCCCAACAATTGTGATAGTTCCCCTCTCTGTTGGAAAACTAGGCCACATTCTCTCCTGGCTTAATCTCATTGACTTGTGAGGAGTTACACCAGCAAAGAATTGGGCCATTGTCTGTCCTCCTTCCCCAGGTGAAATTCTCCCCACCCAGCTTTAGGCCTTCGCTGAGAAAGAAGTGCAATTTGCCAAGCAGAGTGAACTTGGTTACTTTATACAAAAACATGACATTCTGGGAATAATTTAGAATTAAAAATGTAAACAAAACAATGCAGTGTTTTGGAACAACAAAAGTGATATGATGGTTATAGGAAGAAAAGAGACATTCCTAAACAGTTTACAAGCATAGGGAGAGTAAATTACAAATGTGCACAGTAAAATCCACTATAGTTTGCATAAATGTTTATAGCAGTAATAGACTGAGACCCACAATACATCCGAAATTAGAATCTAGAAAGACAACTAGTATTTTTGACAGTTTCTTGCACAAATTAACAAATTGACAAGTTTCTATCTTGTTTTTCCCATTTCATAATCTCTGTGAATGTAAAATCAGTAGGTAGTAAAAGAAAGTTCAAATATGAATGAATAGCAGTAGTGGAAACTGGATCACCTTTTCTTTGCATGGACTAGTACTAGTTAAGGTTAGGTAAAATGAGTTGATGAATTCACAGCCAAGTTAGCGTTAGCTAGAGTTCTCAAGCCACTGGTTAGCAAATTATCTGTGCTACTGACTCTGTCACTGCAGCTTAAGATCCCCCTTTTCCAGCTCCTTCAGAACCTTCTCCTAAGGTCTGGCTGCACTTTTCCCCACATCTTCTGATCTATGTACACCCTGTCCGTGGCTCCATAAAGTTGTGAGACCTCCTCATCAACCTCCTCCTGGCGCTGACCAAAATGGCCATCTAAAATACCAGGAGGAGGATGCTGGACAAGGGGGTGTTCTGCGACTCTGTTCCTCTCTGGGCTCATGTATCTGGGCAAAGGTCCTCTGGGCCACATCTGCTGGCTCCCTGGACTCCTTTTGAGGTGGGTGCTGTCCAAGGTTCTTTGCTCGGTGTCCCATTCCTGATTCCTGATTCCTGATTTTTGTACCTGTGACACTCACATCATTGTTATTCATTAGTTGTCCCCCGTAATTATTTGAACTCTGGGTCCAGTAGCTTCTCCCTTCAGTCTGGGGGAGGGGCCTTCAGACACAGATCTCAATAGGTGCAGCTTAAGATCTGTTTAAACAACTCATCATTTCTGGCAGATAGATATAGAAGTGGAACTAACCTCAATTATCTTTGATTTTATTAATTTAAAAGGCTGCATGACAAACTTGCATATGCAGCATATAATAACTAGACTAGGGCAGTAATGCACATTGCTGTGACTAAACAACAGACTATGGCTATGTTTTCACTGGAAAAAGAGGTAAGTTTTTACATCAAGATAACTAAATTGAGTTACACTCTGCTATTCTAATCCTGGGCCTGCTACTTTCATAGCTTGGGCATCTCTTGAGCAATCCATTTATTGATTTCAGTGTCGATTTTTCTGGAGGACCAGTAGACCAACATACTCGCTCTTCTGTTTTAAACTTTAGAAAAATTTCAACCTTAAATTTCAAAACAGGTCCTTTTATCTTCCTTCTCTTTAAGGGAAGTAGGAGACCTAGGTTCTACTTTCAAGTCTCCTGCAGTCTGAAACACTGCTCAAGTCCCTTAAACCATCCAGTTTTCCCACCTGTACAATGGGGATCATACTGACCTAGCATTCAGGATGGTTGTGAGGCTAAATTAATGTATGTAAAGTGTTTTGAAATCCTTCCTATAGACCAGTGTGAAGTATTATTGTTAAGGACACAACTTATTTGACCACACAATTGCCAATTGTTGTATGAGGTAGTGAGTACTATCAGTTTCTGTGCTTCAGTAATGCCATGTAAATATAAATAAAAACACAAATGTGTAGAGAATTAAATGTACAAAAATTAAATATAAAAATAAATACACGCCCTACTCCAAGCAGAACTCTTTACTCTGCTATTATTGATTTTATCTGGAAGGTGCACAGGTACTGTAGTGATGGATGGCATTATAAAACCCTGAGATAGAAAGGTTAGAATCTCTAATTTGAGTAGCATATGTACACAATATAGTACAGATATGAATAATATGCATGGGGAAATAAGTGGGATTGATCCTGAAAATGAATGGAAGTAATTTTGCAAAGGCTACTACCTATATTTTTGGGAGGAATTTGGAGAGAAAGTGGTGGTTTGACACATGAGATGAGGAAGAAGCAGGTTACTCCAGCCTCCCTCTACAGAGGGAGGGCACAATCTAAAGCGGAGGATACGTGACCCTTCCCCCCATGTGTCTCCTCTGACCACCACCACCCCATAGCGCCCACCTAGGGGCTGCCATCCTCTCTCTGCCCCACCAGAGTTACCTGCGGGGCTGTGTAGGGGGTGGGGTCTGTTCTTCCACTATGCTCCCTCCCTGCACATGTTCAGCTCCTGTCCCTGGCAGCCAAGCTTCAGTGGGGAGCGGAACTGAGCCACTTCTCAAATGACTGAAGCTGGTTGCGCTGGGTCACTGCTCTGTGCAGTGTGGCGACTGCCTGCAAGAGCCAGGCTGGGAAGGTGGTGGCATCAGGAGCGGGCCACCCTTTCTGCTCTCTGCCCAGGCCTGGCTGCTGGGCACAGGAGCTGAGCAAGCCAGAAACATGGGGGGAAAATGCCGGCTTGCTTGGTCTTGTCCCCGACTCAGTTGCCTCCTAGCCAGGCTCTCTGAAGCAGCTGCTGCGCTGCACAGAGCAGTGACCCAGAGCAGCCCGCGCGAAAAGGGCTGCTCCTACCCTGTTCACTCTGCAGCTGGGCTTGCCTTCCCCAGAGAGCGGCATAGGGAGCTTGGGGGCAGACCCAGCAGAAGGACAGAGCCCTTCCCTGCCCCCCACTAAGCAGCAATCGGTAGGGGCACTTGACCCTGTATGTCCCTCCGTGCCTCACCTATGGAATGTTCTACGATAAGGTTAAGGGCTCATCGGTGCTGGAGAGATGGAGCCTTCTTTGAGGCTAGGCCAGAAATACAGAAAGAACTCCCATAGGAGCCAAGAACCGTCACAAACCTCACCACAACGTTCAAGGTGCACTCTTGAGCCTTCCTTTACTATAAACACAGAGCAGCGTGTACCTAGATAAAACAACCCCCCCCCCCACGCCTCCCGGCAGACGCAGGTGGAGATGGAGAACAAACTAACTACATGTAACAGCTGAAAGTCATGTCTCTTAGAGCCTGGCTTCACTGCAGCGTTAGGGCGAAGCATCATTCGACAGTTGCACCTAACCGCACTCCTGTGCGTCCACACGCACCTCTAGCCGAGGTTAAGCGATGTTTCACACTCAGGGAGTGCAGGCTGGAGCTGGATGCTGCTGAGGGTGGAGCTAGCAATGCAGTGGGGACGCAGCGACTCCCCTGCTCCACGCTGCTCTCACGCGACCGAGGGGAACCAGAGCCCGGGCTGCAGAGGCGAGATGCTCCAAATGCACCCACGGGAAGGCGCTTGCACGCTGCGGTGATAAGCGCGCTATGTGACCCTGCACGGAACAGAGAGCACTTCACTCCGCCTGGGTAAGTCACAGGAAATCAGGATTCCCGGCTCCTAACCCTGGGTTTTAACTAGCATCTCCCGCCTCCTTCAACAGCTCAGGAGAAGAAACGCCTCCCAGCCACGCGTCTACCTCTGCAGCGGCAGCCGGAAAACTACACTACCCAGAATGCATTTTTGCCGTGCGCATGCGTGCAGATCATTGTGACTCTGTTAACTGGTTACCGCTGCTCTCAAGCAAACCTGAAGACAGCGGTATTTCCAAGGTACGCCCTCCTTTCATCATCATGATAATCCTGTCAGCCAATCGGCGGGCGAGAAGCTCGGCAGCCGTCAAATCAACGCCCGGCGTGACTGCAGCTGGGCGGTGCTCTCAGCGGCGACAGGCTAGTCGGCGCTCGGAGAGAGGGGGGAGTTTATTGCGACGGTAGCGAGAGCAGTCGGGTCCGGCGGGGACTGCAGCAGGCATGGGAGAGGCGGAAGAGAAGAGGTTAACCCTGCTGGGGCGGGACACGGGCCCCGCAGCACCCCACTAGCACTCCTTGCCTCGCGGCACTGGTCACCCCTCCCGGCGGTCCCCCTCCCGGCACGGCAGTCGCCATAGAGACCGCACGCGATGGGCAGCGGGCTGAGCCGGGGCCCGCGGCGCTAGCCCTGACTGCAGCTGAGGGGCGTGAGGGGCGCTCTCGCCGCAGGCGTTAACCCTGCCCCCGCCGTCCGACTCGCCCCGTCGGGGAGGAGCCGCCGCCGCCGGCTGGGCCACGTTCCAGGTGAGAGCCACCCGCGAGGCTCAGACGGTCTAGAGCTGCCCGCCGCTGGGCCCCGCCGCCTCACTGTGGTGGTGGTGGGGTTATTTATGGCTGGTTCTTTGTCTCCACGCAGGGCACTGCGGGGCGGGCGGGATGCCTGGGGAGCTGGAAATATCCCGGCATCATTCGCCGGCGCATCCCTAGGCTGCTGGCGACTGGGACCATTCGGGACGGGTCGCGCCGGAGCTAGGGGGGAAGTGTAATTTCTGCGTGTGCCCGCTAACGGGTAATAGCCGGTGACATAGGGGTGATGAGCGCTACGGGTCAGGGGAGGAACCTTCCGGGCTACAGCAAGATAAGATCCCGTTGCTAGATCATTTCCCGACTGCTTGCAGACTGACTACGAGTGACGGAAGGGTTTTTGCGGCATAAAAGCACTTTGGGTCCTTAGGATGAGAGGTGCTGTTATATACTGTAAAACGATTATTATTGAAATCTTAGTTATGGTGTAGTGCTGATGGCATAAAAGGTGCACAGAAGCTTTGGAATGTTACAGGACACTCTCTGAAAGATATTGCTATTACAGCACACTAGCACAGATTATGTAGATTGGACAGGGAAGAATAGTTGCCCCTGTATTTGATATAAGGTCACCAGGTATGCTGGAATCCAGCAGCGTTACTCTCCACCTTGGCCTTTCTACTCTGAAGTTAAATTTATAGGCACATGATTATGGTCTTTACTTTCTCTTACTAGAGGAGGATACACATTATTAGCAGATACCTGTTACTTGATGTTGAAACAGCCAAGTTTATAATAGATTTTGTCTGTTTCCTTTTCTTGTACAAATATGCTATGGGTGTGTGTGTGTGTTTGTATACATATATTATATACATGTGTGGGCAAGGATGGATGGAGAATCTGTCCGGTGTCTGTCATATTAAGCGTTGGAGACATTAACAGCAGTTGCATCAATATATGAATACAAATATGAGATATGCCTCAGTAGGCCATAGTTGTAATAAACAAACAAAAATCTAATATGGGAGGGGCCTTTTAAAAATACTATTTTATCCACCACCGGTAGTATTTAATGATATAAGAAAATATATCATTTCTGAAAGTATAGATGAGGGTTGAAAGCTGTGTTACAGCATCCTTGCACTTCTGTTCTCACAAGAGAGCAAAAGCAGTGGGAGGACAAAGAGTGGTATGGAATTACTAACCTTGAGGGTATATGCTGTGGCAATAGGAAACACTCTTCAGTGTAGACAGGGATGGATTTAAAAATTCTGATCAACTATTGTATGTCAATTGGAAGAACAAAAGAAGTGGCATGTTTATAGCTTAACCTCTTCTATACAACGCATGGTATTTATGGTGAAGGTATTTATGTGAAATGTGTGAAACAGATTATAGTGAAGACATTTCTTATGCAGACAATGTACATGGACAAACATTATTTTAAATTAACAAGCTGCTTTTATTTTAATGAGAGAAATTTATTAAGTGCCTTGATAAATTTGTTGCTACATATATTTTTTAATATTAAGAAATGAGGTCCTGTAAAAACCTCAGAATGAGTGGAGATGCTGAAGTTGAGCAGTGAAGTTGCAGTATCAGAATAATTTAAAGACAGTAAGATATATTAATTATGGGGGGGGGTACGTGCAAAGAACATTGTATTGATTATTGTTTAGTTTAATACCTCTTAAATATAGTTAGCATTGAAATGAATGAATGAATTCTATGTTGCAGATTTTCCAAAAGCTTAGTTTTTTTTTAAATAAATCTTCTGTAGGCAATGCTGTGTCTTTGTTGTGGTGTATCTAGGTGCGTGTTAATTCATTTTTGCTACAGTACTTGAGACAACAAGAGGTTAAAGGTGATATGATCCTGCAAATTTTTTTGTGTCTGCAGTAGCATTGACTCTCAACAGTGAAACGTGGGACAAATATATTCAATATTCTATGTAGCTCAGTACAGAATCTTTTCACATCTTGATAATGACTTCTCAGGATTATACAGTGAAATGCCCTAGTAATGTATTTGAGTAAGCAAAGTACTAAGTCTTAAAGTTAGCGTTTTATTCTAGAGGTAGTCTTGTTAACATCCGTTCGATTTGTAAAGGATGAGCGAAGTGATTTGTAATGTGTATAAAAGAGTGACTATGTACTTATTGCTAATGCTTTTTATTTGGCTTTCACAAAGTTATTTTTGGCACAGTGTATCTAAATACTGTGTATATGATGGAAATGTGTTATTAGCTTTCTTCAGAAAACATTTCCATTTTTATTTTGATTTGCTTCAGATCTGCTACTGTGTACTTGGTAGCCACTGTGTCTTTAACCTCTTTGTGGTATTTTGGAAGCAATAGGGGGTTAGGCAGAGAAATTCAGACAGATGGAAAATGTGTGAGAATGGAAGCCCATGAGACATTAATCAGGTCTGATGGAGTCATATAGTACTGCATGTTACATTTTCTGTTAAATTGTAACCCTGCAGTTTTCAGGCCACAGAGGGCTATATGTATACTAAAATAAAAGTTGGAATGTTTTTTCTAAAAGGAAAAGAGTTTTCCTTATCCATAACCATATTTTAACTTTTATAGCAAAAAAAGTGCAGAGAGCCCTGATACAGCCAATTGTTTTTGTATATACAATATTAAACATCCATTTGGAATGTATAAAGTACAATACAAGATAAAATGAATATTGTTGATTGCATCTCCTGTTAAACTAAGACTTGATCCTACTGTAAGAATATACTGACAGTTCTAAAGCTGGTCTTCTATACAGTTTCTGTGTATTTCCATTTTCTGGATCATTATCACCTTCTCTTGCTCTCTTAAACCACTATTCAGAACTGTGTAGAATCTGGCTAAAGGGGCAGAGAGACAGCTGCAGATTCAATTTAAGACAATACTATTATTTGCAATCTCAGAGGGATGCCTGGTATATGAACCAGCCAGCCACTATTCCTCCTCCCCTTCCCAACTCTTGAGAAACACCCTCTCCTGCAGTGACAGAGAAACCAGCCCCTTCTATTTGCTGTCACAAATAAACCAGGAACCTAACAGACCATTAAAATTTATCATGTTTAATAGATAATTTACTAATCATACAAGAGTTAGTTTTCAGAATCCGTTTATTACAAATTGCACACTAAAAGATCCAAGAACTGTAGATTATGCTTTGGTTAAAAATGGCTTGCCATCAACCAGACAATGTATTGATTTCTTCTTGGCATTAGTGGTGAAAGAGATTTGTTCATCAGATTAATTCCTATGTTAATATTCTACCCAGTTAAGAGGTAAATATATATATTTCATTTTAAAGATCTGACTTATCTTTCATAATTTTTTTTATCTATTGCATTTCACTCAGTTTAGAGATTGAAACTAGACAGGATAATTTAAATTCTTATGTGCCAGTCCTGTTCTTTATTGGTTGGACTGTGTATGCTGCAGGACAACATTTAACAAAAGTTTTCACTGAAAATCTTGAACACCGCATAATGTTAATAGTATTTTTTTAAACAAAATTTAGGCCTAAACATTTTTTACACCATTCTTGTGATGCCCCTACATATTCCTTCTCTCAAAACATCACCCAACCTTTTACTTGGTCTAAGTTTTATAATCAAACCCTTCAGGATGCGTGTGTTTGTTTTTTAAATTGCCAGAATTCTCCGACTTTTGATAAATGTATACACTGTCTACTTGACAGCTTCTTCCACCCCGTTTATTAAAAAAATTGTGGTATGTGCTGAACCCTATTACACTTTTCATCCTGAGCTAGGTATGGAGTGTGGTATGCTCATAAGAGAACACAATACATACTGTTATAACTGAGCTGGATGAAACCTTGTTATGGGCTGAGTTAAAAAACCTTAGTGAGGTTGAAGGATTTGAATGCACACATCAGTTAGCATAACTGTAGGGAGAAGTTAATAACAAACCCCCAACTAAAAAGGAGTTTTAGGCTGGGTGGATCGAGGGGTTTTTGCTTGAGTATTGTTTTGGGGTAAAGTGTGTGGGAGAGGAAAGGTTTAAGAGGTTTGGGACTGTAAGCTGAGAAACTGTTCTTGTGTTCCTCCTGCATTTGGAGAAGTAAGACTTTGCACATTACTTGTAAATAAACAAGATTGCATCAAAGAAAATATGGGACTCTATTTTCAGTTTCTGCCCCCAGTTCGAACATTCCCGTGGCCTCAAACTTTGATGAGCTGTTCCAGTTCAAAAGGGACAACACTACTAATAATATTTGATGTTGGGATCTCCTATTCTCACATTATGTCTGATTCTGAATAATAAGAGCTGGAATCACAGAAAGATGGATGCCAGAAAATGGTATAACTTACCCAGGGCAGTTGGATTGTTCTGGGTCTTAAATGAGGATATCATTACTATTTAAAAAACAAACAGACAAACAGACAAACTCCTCACAAAAGTCACCAATACTATTTAAAATGTAGAAGGGGTTTGTTTATTTCTTATATTTAATATATGCTCTTAGATGTGAAACTGTTTTTGATATGATTGTCACCACAGAATCACATGACCTTGTTTGCCATGTGATAGTCTTCTCCTTAACATGTTCTCTCTGCAGTAGAAATTCAGTTAATGCCAGTTTTGGTATCCTCATTTCTACATAATGCTTTCAGAATGGTGAAAACTTTGTTAAAAGATTACTTGTGATTTTTACAATGGAGCACTCATTGCTATAGGTAACTTTAGAAATTATAAAATGCTATACTGCTATTAGGGTTGTGTCATCATTATGCAAATTTTTTTTTAAACTGATTCACTATCCCATAAAATGCTACTTTAGTTGTTTTTTTTTTTTTTTTTAAATTTACAAATGGAAAAAACTTGGTTCAGTCACTCTTTTTTAAGTCAACACCTTTATTGCTTTTAGCCTTTTTACTTGTCTAATTCAGATTACTTTGACTTTTAAAATCTATTGTTCTGTGATACATAAGGCCCTACCAAATTCACGACCATGGAAAACATGTCATGG